CGTGCCGTCGTGGGGCCGTCTTCGGGCCCTTTTGGGCCGTCTTGGTGATTTCTGGTTCTCCGACCGTCTTTGGTTCCTTCGGAGGCCCTCCTGGGCCAGCTTGGAGCTCTCCCGAGGCCGTCTAGGGGCCCTCTGTGGGGTCCCCAACTCAATCCGCCAGTTCAATCCAGAAAACGTCTCGAAACTCGAAAACGGAGGGGGCCAAACCCGAACACCTGGGCGGGGAAGGGGCACACCTCGGAGTGACCAAACCCGGAGATCATGGATGGGCCGAAACCCGACGAGCTGGGAGGGGGCAGACCTAGAACATTTCAGGAAGAGATCTCGAAGGAGGCAGGACGAGGTGGTAGGCGACAGGAGGAGCTAGGAGGAGTGAGATGGGGCAGGACGAGCCAGAGTGCAGCTGGAGGAGGCGGGTGGACGTAGGAGGAGGTAGGACGAGGTAGACGGGGGTAGGAGACCTTCGAGGGCAACGGAGAGGGTAGCAGGGCGGTAAAAGGTCAGTGCGTCGGCGATTGGAGCTCCCAATCGGGTACCTCAGCGTGGTGCGTTTGTGGCTTCTGAGGCTTTGGCGGTTGTTTGGGGGTCAGTCTGTGGCCCCGCTGCGAGTGGAGTGGCCCTGCATTTGCGTCGCGTCGCGAGCAGAGTGAGGTATTGGTCTTCGCCCCCCAGGTGTTGCCACGTGGCGAAAAGAGTGATACTGTGTACGTTCGGTACGCGCGGCATTGCCACGTGGTGAGCAGAGTGGATGTATGCTTCTCGTTCGCTCCCCATGTCGTTGCCGCGTGGCGAGCAGAGCAGGATAGTATGTTTGTTTGCCTCCCAGGCTTTGCCACCTAGCGTTGCCATATGGCGAGTCGAGTGGAATAGCACGTGTTCCCGGCTAGCTTCTTTGCCACGTGCCGGGTAGAGTCGTGGAGTAATGTTTTTTCGCCCCGCAGGCGCTGCCACTTGGCGGGTACAGTGGAGTAGTTATCCGAGCGTCGCCATGAGGCAAGGAGAGTGGAGCAGTAGTCGTTTCGCTCCCTTGGCGTTGCCACGCGGGGCGCGCGGCCAGGCGGGCTCGCTCGGCAGGCGCTGCCATGTGGCGAGTCACGTGGCGCGGAGAGTGGATCAGTATTTTTGTTCGCTCCCCCGGCGCTGCCACGTGGCGAGAAGAGTGAAGTAATGTTTGTTCCGCTTCCGCCCCGCAGGCGTTGCCACGTGGCGAGTAGTGTAGTGGAGAAGTTGGCGTTCCGCTCCCAAGTCGCTTCCGCCTGAAATAGTATTGCGTTCCATCCTGCAGGCGTTGCCACGTCGTGAGGAGAACGGAGTCGCTGTTTAAGAGAATAGCCCGGCCTTGCGTTCTCAGGGTTTCCGCGCGGTCGGGGGTTTGGGGGTCGTCTGCCGGGCGAGTTCGGGGCTGCCCCGCGCGGCGGAGATTGCCGCTTTGGTCTTTTCGGGATGGCTTCTCTCGGGTTTTCGGGTTTCGGGCGTGGTCGGGTTTTCGGGTTGCGCCCCTTCCAGATTCTCGGGCTTAGCTGGAGAATTTCGCGTTTCGCCTCGAAAGTGTCCGGATTCGCCTTTCGAGCTTTGGATGGGCCGTTCGGATGTGAGTGTTTTTTTAGGTCTGGATGGGCCTTTCGGATGTTTTCCAGGGCAGCAAGTGGAGCTAGATTCGACCGAAGAGCGTGGACCCGAAAGCGTTGAACACCACTTGGAAAGCAATGTGTTTAGCCTCTCGAGGCCCTCCTCTAGAGAGCGTCTTGGGGCTGTGTTGGGCCGTTTCGAGGCCTCGTGGTGCATTTCTTATTCTGACGCGCTCCACCTGAGCCTCTTCGTGCCGTTTCTCCGCCCCCCTTCTCCCTCGTCATAGTTTCACGTCAGTGTTTTGTTGTGTCCTTCTCCATCGTCGTCTTTCTCGTCGTCGTCGGTTTTCTTATTCTTGTTCGCCTCCCACTGTTCATCCTTTTTCGTCCTCGCGGGCAGCCGCATTGTCGAGTCCTCCTTCGTCAACGTTTGCTCAATGGAATATTCATTGGGCGCACCCGCAGGGGCCGCTTGGGCGCCTCGTGGCGCAGTGTCGGGCCATGGGGCGGCTCTCCTGGGCCGGGGCTTCGGGCCGCCAGGGGGGCCTCGGGAGGGAGGGCCCAGGCATGCGGCAGTTTGTGGCCTGTGACTTGCCGTCGCTCGGACGTGTGCATGTTTTCTTCGGGGAGGACCATCGAGGACAGAGGAGCATCCTGGATCATCGAGGACCAAGAAAACACGCACGACGCCGACAAATGCTCGGGGAACCGCCTCTCCGAGCGATGGCGAGTTTGTGGCCTGTGAGAGGAGTGAGAGGGGAGCCCTGGCCCAGACATGCTCGCGTCGGAAGACAATCACGACGGACAGTTTTTGTTGCCGTTGGTCGGCCTCGGGGGGCTCTTGTCGGGCCCCTGGGCCGTCAGCAAAACTGTTCGGGATGTGAGCGAGCAACGACATATGTACATGTATGCCCTCCGCGCTCCAGCGTGCACGAGTGTCCGCGTTCAAACGCAGACCAGCGGAAGTTGACCGCGTACGTGTACATATGTTGTTGGTTGGCTTCGTAATGGGAACCCAGCCCCAGGGAAGGGGTCGGGACTCTCGGGGACTCCGTGCCGAAAGAAACTAGGCATCGGATGCCTGGGTAGAGAGTCAAGAATTTCCACAAGACAGTTTCCACAAGACAGTTTATCACGCAGTCCTTGGAGTCCTTGGCCTTGACCACGCCTCAGCGTACCATGGAGGTACGGTGGCGGCGATGCTGGCGTACCAGAGCAATTCTGAACCTCAACCAATCCAATGGTGCAGCGTGACCCCGTGTACCCGTGTAGGTATCGCGTTGGCGCCCGATGCACTCGGTTCGTCCTCTTGACGCCTGAGGCGTTGTTGTCGACATCATCCACGCATGCTTCCATGCGTGATGTGTACGCGGCACCATTTGATTCACAGGTCGTTGCCATTGCAATGCGTAGACAAATTCTTTCGGCCTGCTTCGATGCGAGACTGTATAAGTGCGTTCAAACGGGGAAGGGGGGAGACAGTCCCAACTGCGTTGCATTGCTGTGCAAGTCAGATAGGGGCGCGTAATTAGGTCTTTGATGTAGAATTGCCGAGTCATTCACACTATCGTGTTGCTACTCTTCTGAGAGGTTAGCATGACATGCTGCATTCGTCTATCCGCTTGACTTCCTATGACCAAGACCACGTATTCCCTAGCGCCTAGCGCCTAGATGTGCACGTCTTGAACACTGCTGCTCTTGGCACCATGCTCCGCGTAAGTCTTTGTGCGTTCTGGATGCCCCGAGGGGTGCGACTTTTAGGAGCGTGTGCTTAGCATGTCGCTCCGCCGGTTCTGGCCCACCACGCCGTGGTGCGGCACGCTAACGATTTCCGAGTCCCCAAGCGTTCACGTCCCGAGCTTCCCCACGCCTCCCGCCCCGATGAGTGGAGGGACGCGCCATCCGCTTGCAAGGCATAGCGTGTTGCGGGTGCCGCCACCGCGATACGATGAGCAAGTGCTCCTTATCGTAGTTAACTTAAGCCAGGAATCCAAATTGCGCGCGCCGCCGCTTCTGTCCCTTGCCGTGTTTGCTCAGGGTTTCCAGGCTGCGCCACTCGCTGGAGGAGCCCAGGGGAGCAAATGCTCGAAGGTCACAGACGGCCGAGTATTCATCTGCAGCGCTCCGGCCAGGGCCTCGCCTTTTTAGGAACGGAAGGAGTTGGCATCTCTTCCTCGGCGGAAGCCAGCGGAAGGCTGGCGGACGCCAGCGGAAGCAGAAATCGGCGCTCGAAGCTCCAAGAGATGCCATGGTGGGGGGGTTCAGGGTTTCCAAAACCAGCCATGTCAAGCTTGGGATATTTTGCTACGTGAGATGCGCATCGCATGATCTGGCCATCCCACTCTCCATCGTCGCCTCGCGCTTTGTTTCTGGGAGTCACGTGGCAGCACGCCTCGTAAAGACAGTGTCTCAATACGCTCAGGGGTGTGCTTGTGCCCCGCCACAAGAGCTGGCAGTAAACCAAATGCAGCACGAACGTCGGATGGCTAGGGTTACAACTATCGGCATGGCGTAGATGCTAGCGACATCTTGTAACAAATAAAGTGTGCAAGACAAGTGTTCGCACAATATAGATATAAGGAAAGCATGGCCCAGGATGTTTGTTGCGGAGCCCCCCCGTCCCCCGCCCCCCCCAGAGACGCAGCCACTTCGCATAAACAGATATTTCTTGTAGTAATGCCGACACAGCACTTGCATGGAAGTTCGTCTCGAGGCCTCCGCTCCGACGACCCTGTCAACCAACTTTGCTGCCAGGTAATCGTCGGAGGACGTCCTCAACGGCATGCCTCCAAGGCGCACCAGCCATGCGCAGAGGACATCGAGAGATCAGCGCACGATGGCCACCACTCGGGGCGCCAAGATCATCGCGCTGGGCGGTCCGTGCCAGCCAGCTGCCCTGCTCCAGGGTGGCCCTCAATAACGCCATGACAGCTGCGGGTTGGGCACCGCGAGTCGTGACCTCTGGCGGCCTCGGCCGCCCAGACCCACGTGCAGGGGCAGCGCCGCAAGGGCGCGTGCCAATATCTCTCTCTCCCTCTCCCTCTTCCTTTCCTTTCCTCCTCTTTCGGCACGACCAGAAAGGTTAAGGAAAGTATGGGCAGGAAAACCAACAGTAGTTGTTGTCCATCGTGGGCAGGCTTCGCTGTCGGCGTCGCCGCGGACGCTGTTCACTTCAGACACATTGGCGTCTGCCCAGCAGCGGCCGCTGCATGTTTTGGACCACATGTGTTGTTGCGCATCGTACCACGTTTTTCTGTATTGCTCCAGACTGGTAATCCCTGGTGCGCCGCCTAATATTTGAGTTTCCTGTATGTCTACCAGGCGTGCCCGCCCGACTAACTGCATGGCATGTCCGCTCTCGTCCCCTCAGGCTTCCCTTGACTTCACAACGAATCCCCAAAACGAACCATATGGCCAAGGTCGCCACTGGCTCGAGCTTTACAGTCGAAGCGGCCTCTCAGCTCTTTCCACCCCACCTCGCACATCTGGATGCAGCGGGCATGACGATGGCGCCCCCAGGTCGGACGCTCCGTATGCTCCCCTGAGGCTCGGCGATGTCCGCAGGCGAGAGTGGCCCTTCGGCAGATCACGCGCCGCAAACATATGGCCAGGAGACCGCTAAGTTCGTCGGGTGGATCCCGTTCTTGCTCATATCCTACCCAGGCCGTGGCGAGTGTCGCGACATGACATTACAAGACCTACAGGACAGTTTACTTCCTGGTTCACACACGCATTCGACAAGCATCTAAATCGAGAAAGCACAAGCAAACATCATTGGGGACACTGGGGCTGGGGACGGGCACCAGCGATCAACTCTTCATGCGGATGTTGGATAGCGATTTCTCGTCGACTACCGACAAATTGTTCGCATCGCGTCTCCCCCCCGCAGCACTGCAAGGTCGAGGTGGTTCCAATGACAACGTACGCGGCCATTGTCGTGTCAGTCTTATAGTCGGCTATTTTCCCCCCAGTTCCGCACAGCTCTGATGCCAAACATCTTCAATTGGCATGACGGAAATTGTGGCAATGGATATTTTCTGAAATCACGACATGCCCGTCTCGTACGGTACCTCGCCTTCTTGGCGACATGAATCAAGGCTTCGGCAGACGCCATCGCGCCCTTCGCACCGACGACAGCATCGGAACCATGCAAGCGGCCCCAGAGGCGGCAGTGATCATACCCGTCCATGAGTCGTTGCTCGCGAACTCGCTCACGGCCTACAGCACGTCGTGGAACACTGGAACACTTTTTCCTGTAACGGCGGTGTTGAGAGTCGCATCGATTACCGGATCGGCCCGACCGACGCTTCCGACGCCATCCAAATAATACAACTCTGCTGGAGATCACAACAACACCCACGACAAGTGCCACAAATGAACAAATGAAGGACCACATACCACTGCTGTTACGTATCAGTACCCACAGTCCCTCACCTTCGACTCTGGACCACAGGCTGAGATGAGATTGGGCATACTTTGCAACGGGACTATAAACGACATAAGTGAGCAACATGTCGTCGTGATCTACATGACTTACATCAGCGATGCCGCACCAAGTTAAACATCATGTGATATGACCAACTCCCTGACCGATACGCTGCCCTGGTTGCCTATATCATACGACGCGCTGCTCTCCCGAAGTATTCCCGACACGGAGGTACACAGCAGTGGGTAAGGGACGTTTAGGCGCAACGGCACACGATTTTTAAGTATTGTTGTTGTGCCCAGACAAATGCATGGCAGTGGATAGGTATCTTCTCAAACAACTTCAAGAGCGATTATGCGAATACGCCCAATGGGAAATAATCATGGGGGAACCATTCCTTCAAAGAACAACTCTGGGAAACATTACATTCTCGCGACCTTTCAGGTTTGCTGAACAACTCGCCCGTCTCCGCGCAGGCATTCGCGTCGGCCCCCAAACACACCGTAATGGCATTTCCCAGCATATGACTTCGAGTCCAACGCTATATCGATGTCCTCAGCCAACCTGGCACTGACGGCGGCCTTGGCACGGAGACCAAACAGATGAGCATCTATATCGAGAACAAAGAAGCGGTTGAACGACAATTCAACCGACCAGGCGACGACATCACCCCCATTGGCGAGTACACAGTGGACCTTAATCAAGAAACGTTGCTGGACGCCGCCACCGATCTCGAACACATAGCCAAACGCCTGTGGCCCAACAGCCACCGACGAGATTCGCCTCCCTGGCCATGGCCGACCGACTTTACTATTAGGGCGCTGTGTCCACGATACTTCAGTCGACTAGGTCTTCCTCGCAGAGGCCCAGGACGTGCTATATCTGACAATGAGTACGCACAGGCCGCTGCGAGACCAGGCCTTGGATATAACAGCGACGACGAGGGCCCCACCGATCAAACACGCCGCGGACCACGCCGACCCGACCAACGAAAACTCCAATTTGATTCGGCACATTGTCAGGTACCGCCGCAGATGCTTAAATTAGTTGCTCACGTTCGGGGTTCGGCTCCACTACCAGTACAATCATACGCACGCCAGGTCGTGGCAAGTGGAAAAAAGATGAAGAGTCATGTGGGGGGGGGGGCAGTCCACTATTTCAATACACGGCTTGCGCATGCTGCAAGTGTTCTGCCCCATTTGGCGCTTGTACTTGGGATGCGGACGACTTCATTTCGAACATGTAGACTCACTCCCAGTCTGGGCGCTTGGCGGAGGGCGAGCACGGCTACGGGAAACATGTATGTGATTGGTTCGCATTGCAATCTACGAGTTTCACAAGGCATGCGCGCCATATCTAGCGAAAAGCTATGACGCGAGAGACGCGTTCGGGGCTGGCAGCGTAGAACGGTTCCTTTCGGCCAACCGTTGCCGCACGGGAAAACCCCATTGTGAAGACGTGTTGCCACAGCGCCGAGAACGCGCATGCGCATCGACGCGTCCGACGGCATCGTTGGGCTTGTATTGCGCAGCGGCGGGCGAGTGGGCGACAGCAGCGAAACCCATACTCCCCCGTTCGTCACGACGAGATCCTTGGCGACGGCATGTCCGCGCGGAACTTATCGACGGTTTCATTTGCATCCTTATCATGCCAGGCGGCGTGTGTCGACAAGCGCTAGCCTTGGATCGCATCGACGCAAATATTCTCAATTCAAAATACATCAGGGAGACTACGCACATAACGCTGGCAAGCAGGAGGCCATCGCCCACCTCGGCTACCAAGATTGCGGAACACAAACTCAGCGGCACATGCGGGACTAATTTCACCCACCGCGGTTCGGACATCCACGTTGGCAGCTACAGCGCTTGCGAGGTGGAGGAGCGTACCCGAGCAAGCAATATCGGATGGACCAGGCGGGCCCATTTTTGGATTCCGCCCGCGCCAAGACGATGCAAACGATTCGTCTTCCTGACAAGCGTTGCGGGCATAGCGTGGTCGAGCCTGGAATTTCTCGGTCCTCGTGCGCGCAGAAGTGGCAAGGACCGGCACGATACTTGCAAAAGAGAGGTTCAAGTCATTGGGCGAAGGACCTGAGGACACTCAGAAGCAGTGCATTTCGTCTGCGTCCCCGTGCGCACTTGTTCCGCATCCCCGTGGGTTGTCTCCGCGACCCCGTGTGGGTTTTTGTCCGCGTCTCCGCATGCTTTTTGTTCTGCATCCCTTTTCCCTTATGTGGTTGTTTCACGACGCGAGCAGGTCTGCCGAAGGACCACCCACGCACGCCTGCGCGCTCGGAACTGGGCCCCCCGAACGCCACGCACCACGGGTCAGCCTTGCTTATTCCGGGGTAAGTCTTGCGTGTAGCCGCAGTTCATGGATCGACGCTGGAACCAATCCGAGGCGCTGCCGATGCCGATCCGACTCCACCGAACCTTGCCCCAGAGAGAGGGAGAAGAGGGGGAGGGGGGAGGGGAAGGGCGGGAAGGGGAGGGACAGAGATGGCTCATTGGGCAGCGTCAAGGGGGGGGTACTATGAGGAGAATCCTGCAGGCCTCGCGCGGCCCGCACGAGTTGTACTACACAGTCCGCACGTCCGCCCGTCAGATATGCGACGACGTCCGCGCGGCGATGTTCCGACGTGGGTCCCCACGCAAATCCGACGCATTCCGACGCGAATCCGACATACGTCCGACGTACATTGGGGTTCAGGTCGCCTGCGCGAGGCCTACAGGATTCTCTTCGTCAGGACCTGGTCAGCACAGACAGGGCGGCAGGCGCAGGGGGAGCATGTAGAAAGCGGCAGGCTTAGTGACCAGTTTGGGTTTCTCGGGTTCGTGCGTCTACGAGGCGTGTGATCGGTTGCAGGGAAGAATGGCCCTTCGCCGGAGTGACGTTTGGTGCGGGCTCACAGGGGTCCCCCCAGCATCGGCCAACACGCTTGGATGTGTCCCCATCGCGGCCCCCGAAAGCCGCGCACCAAAGGTCACTCTTGCTCAGGGTCGCTCTTACGTGTAGCCGATCTGAGATCGCGGAAGTGCCGTCCGCGAAAACGCGCAATCCAGTTAGTAGCAGCATTGGCAGCTGGTTTCATGGCAAGCATTGGACAACCTTTCTAGTGATTAATGTTGATGGATCGGCGCACGAGCCTCCTGATCGCGCCATCGAGAAAAGAAGCGGAAATTGTCGGACCTCTGACATTTTATGTGAACGTTGTTATTTCTTCCTCCAGGGGCGGTCCCGCGGACGTGCGTGCGTGCTCTAGTTCGAGTGAAGGATGGTGAGTGAAACTCTGGGGGGGGAGGGGGCGTCACGCAGCAGCGCCTGTGGCGGTTGTTCATGTATTGGGCGCCAGGCCTACTCGTGGGCGTCGTCGTCATTGATTGTCATTGCAATTGTTTGACCGTCCTCTCCATCATGTCTCCCGCCGTCATGCGGTGGTGGGGTCGGTGCGAGGGAGAAGGGTGGCTTCGCGCGAGGGCACGAAGAAATGCGCGCATCGCGGGGGGCGACTCGCGAAATTAGACGGCCTAGGGACTGATTGGTCGGACTCAGTCACGCTTGTAATGTGTGCTCGTCGCCTCCCGCAGGGGCGACGCGCATGCTGGCACATCTTGTAGCTGTATCACCGCACGACAGGTTGACGTCGTGTCGACCGGCGGCGTCTCCGCCACCAGCGTTCAACGTTAACGCCGCCAGCGTTCCAGAATTGGTCGATGTTAAATGGTATGACGTCTCGGAAACCAACTCCGACGTCGGCACGACACGAGCTTGCCGTAGCAGGCGTCGTCTGGCCATGCCGCTTGGATATCTGCGGGCTACAGCATGATTGTGCTAGATTGTTGTCGGATGCGTGCCTCCCAGGAGCCACACGGTTTTGGCATGTCTTCCAGAGAAGCTAAGGGGCGGGGACAAGGTTAGGGGGGGATCGGTTCATGGGGGCACGCATCGAACCCCGATCGCCCACTGATCGCCAAGGATCTTGCGGATGTGCCGTCGGAGGGCTATCCTATCGGCGACGCATCCCCGACTACAGGCTGGTGTGCCCCCCTCATCAACCAGCCGCCCCCCCCGTAACCACCCCACTTGAAGAAGCGCCCAGGGCGAGGGCTGGCGCGCGAAGCCCAGCCTCGTCCCCAGACCCCCGACGTCGTGTGTCGCTGCGCCGTTGTTCCGACGCGCGGCCCTGCGTCTCGGGGAGGGCGTCGCGGCCATTAGGGCAAGCTCCGCCTCGGACGCGGTGGGCTCGCCGTGGGGTTTGCCGCGGTGCGGGCCTCAACTACTCGGAGTGCGGGACGCAGGGTTTGCCATGGACTTGCCGTGGTGTCAGCGTCGTCCACGTGGGCGCGTCGAGGACAAGCGGCGCGGCGTGGCGACATGTGTGTTTTCATGACGTGGAGTCCACATCTGGGGGCCAGACTCTTTTTTTCGAGACCTCCAGGCTCCAGGGGTCAACCTCGTGGATCCCTTGAGGTCTCGGCCCATCCCCCCCTGGACCAGCTTTTCATTCTGTGTCGTGGTTATACGGTCCGGGGGCTCAGCGAGGGCCGCCAGAGGCGGAAGACAACCACACACTTTGCGTCTTGATTTCTGTTGATGACCCGGGGGGGAGGGCATGCTGCTACGCATGGGATGCATGCCAATGAGAACGGCCGATTATGAGACTATGAAGCCCCTTCTGATCTTGAGCTGGCTATGATGCACACCTATGCCTACCCCGTCCAGTCCTCAGGGACTTCGCATCCCCCCTAGGATGGTGGGATGGGAGGCGGGCCGGGCACTGCACGTGCGGTGCTAGGTCCCTGGGGATCTGCCCCAACAGCCATTGTGATGGAAGCTGCGGCGGGTGTGCGGACTCATAGCAGTCCGCATTAGTAAGGCTTATGATGGCCCTCACCCGGGGGAGGGACTTCGGATCCACCATGATGTCGGGTGTTGCTAGAAGTGCCCCTGGCCCAAGGTGCCCCCAGGTTTCCCAAGAGCCCCCACGGCCTCCAGAGCACCCCATCACGAGGCCTACCCGCGATTGAAAGAGAAGCTGGGGGCACCTTGGGCCAGGGGCATCTTTGGCAACCCCTCACGATGGTGTGCAAAGACGGGCCGCCACCCCCGGCACTGCACGCACAGTGCCAGGCCCCTGGGGATCTGCCCGCCACCCTCCAAGGCGCCATGGCGGAGGCTCCGCCGGCCGCCTCGGCGGCCGCGGCGGACGCCCCGATGGCGGACGCCCCGCTGGCGGCCCCGCCCACGGCGGACGTGCCCGTGGCCGCCGCCCCGACGGCCGACGCGGCGGCCCCCGCCGCCGCCCCGACGGCGGACGCGCCCGTCGCGGCAGCCCCTGCGGCCGACGCCCCCGCGGCGGCGTCCGCGCCCGCCGCGGACGCGCCCTCGCAGGTCGGGCAGTGCCCAGGGGGCCCCGAGATCGGCATCGAGCAGACACGCTAATCTTGTATTTGAGCGTCTGCACCCCAGGGGCGACGCGCGGGCTGTGTTCGGTGGCGGGTGCTTTCTGATCATGCCGCTGGGGAAATGATCTGCTACAAGGTGTTGTTCTATGTGCTCGGGTCGGACGCACGCCTCCAAGGAGGACACGTGGTACTGCTATGTCCTTCTGCGTCCCATGCGAGCCTGAGGCGTCGCAATTCTTTCGCGCCGGGCGATTTCGCCTTGCGTCGGGCCTGGGAACCATGGAGCCGGCTCGAAAATCGGCGCAGAAGGCACGGCCGTGGTTTTCGACCAGCATGTTTTCGCGTGGCCATATCTCACGGAAGGGGGGCCACCATTGGGGGGGGGCTCAGTGTCCCCTGCAAAACCCGATGCTCCAGGGTCGAAGCTAGCTCGAGGAGGTTTTTGAACCTGTGCGGTCGCTTCGGGGCGCTCTCCGGGGCCCCGCGCGCTTCCTCGAGGACGTAGCGGTCCCCCCTACTGGGATGACCGCGGGAGTTGCTAGGGGAATGGGGGGAACAAGTGGATGCTAAGGTGGGTTATATCCTGTCCCACTTGGCTTATGAGAGGGTTACAGATGCCCACAGTGGCCTATGAGGGTTAGATGGCTCGGCTAAGTGGGCTACGCCCACTTTGCCCGGATGCCCCCCCAAGCCACTTGGGCCGTCGGGGTTTCGATAAAAACAGATCTCATTCAACAAGGGCGGATGGGGACGCACATTGCAAACATGTTTTAAACAATGAGGTTCGATTCCGTACGTAATGTGTTGCAGTCTGTCTCGGGCGATGGTAAGCGCGCCCCCATCAGTGGCGGGCATAATTACGTTAGCAGCGGTGTATCACACATCACACGAAACAATGTTGTAAGGCCATTCGTATTGTAGAGGCGGATGCGTACATTCCCAGGACCTCCTGGAGGGGGCTCGTGGATCCGATTTCTCTTGTCGTGAGCAACTGAGGGGCGCGACTGTAATTGTGGGCGGTCTGGGGCAGCGCCTTGGAGCCCCCGCAGGGCCTCGGCGAGGCCTCCCTGGGGGCTCCACTGGGTGCGTTCTCGACGTGCGCCGCGTTCCGAACTGTCAGAGAGCGGCGGTGGTGTAAGTCCCTGCTGTGTGGAAAAAACAAAGATCTCGGTTTCTGCCAACAACATCGCGGTTGGACCGTCGACAGTGCAATTTTGCTGCCGAGAGGGAGTCCAGTGCGAGCGTTGCCGTTGGGCTGGTCTCTGGATTCCGACGGCGCCGCAGGGATCAGCGCGCCAGTACCCCCAGGTGGTCCCAAGAGTCCTTCCTGGGCCTTTCATCGGGCCCCGAGCGAGTCCCACGAGGGCCCCAAGAGGGCGCCAAGATCCTTCAGCTAACCCCCGGGGACCCCACGACCTCCCAGAAGAGCCCCACGAGGTTCCCCAGAAGCCTTCTTGCAGCCGCCGCACACACGCGACGTGATTGTTCGGGTGGATAAACAAATCACACGTTGTGTGGTCAAGGAAGGATACTCAAGCACGCAGCAGCCAGCTTTTGAGTAGCAAGTCTAAGGCAACTTTCTCGCCCCCCCCCACCTGGCCCGTAACTCAATTTTTCCGGACCTCCGAGTGTCATCTGCAACCGATTTATAGGCCAGGTCGGACCAGACAAAGCCACTCATCCGCTGGGGAAAGCCCGCTTCATCCCCTCACCATCCCCGCGCCCCCCACCCCCACGTGGCGACCACCCTTGGCACTGCCCCAGCAGGCCGCGCACACCGCGGACGCCCCGATGCCGGCCGCGCCCGCTGGCGCGGCTGGGTCGGAGGCGGGCCCGGCGGTGCCCTCGGGGTTCGGTGGAGGCGTTTTTTGTTTGGCGTTCTCGTAGGTTCTCGGCGGTTCCCCAGCCTCCCTTCGGAGGGGCACCGCTGTCGTTTCAGATTTGCGAATCTCCCCCCTTCCGAGGGCTGTCGTACGTACCTATCTCCTCCTCCTCCTCCTCCTCCTCCTCCTTCTCGTTCTCCTCCTCTTCTTCCTTCGTCCTGACTGCTCCTCTTCCTCGTGCTCGTTCTCCCCTCATCGCCCTTCCTCCTCCTCGGTGGCATCCCTTCTCCTCCATCCTCTCCCATCCTCCTCGTTCCTCCTCCTCCTCCTCCTCGTTCCTCCTCCTCGTTCCTCCTCGTTCCTCCTCCTCCTCATCCTCCTCCTCCTCCTCCTCCGCCTCGCCTTTCCTCCTTTTCATCCTTCTTCCTCCTGCCTCCTCCCACGCGCACCTGCTGGGGCAAGAGAAGGGGCGTGCAGCCCGCAGGCGCCCCGGGCGGCCGATGCCGCGCCCGCCGTTGCGGCGGGCGCAGGTGCCTCCCTCCCCGCGGCTGTTCGGAGGGGAGGAGGAGGGGGAGGAGAAGGAAAAGGAGGCCACCATCGACGAGGAGGAGGAGGAGGAGGAGGAGGAGGAGGAGGAGGAGGAGGAGGAGGAGGAGGAGGAGGAGGAGGATTAGGAGGAGGAGGAGGAGGAGGAAGTTGAGGAGGAGGAGGAGAAGGAGGAGGAGGACAATTCTGTGTGCCACACTGCTTGCTTACTTACCTCTTTACTGCTTGACCTGATTCACTCCGGGCGGCGGTGTTCCAGGGGAGGATCTGATTCGGAGGGAGGGGAGGTTGAGTGTTGCGTTGCTTTCCTGTGTGGTGACGCCCGCTGGGATCCGCCACGGCCTTACGTTACTTTGCGCGTGTATGTCGATCCCTCTCGTGACTTGGATCTTTCCGCCCTTACTTGGTACGCTACGATTCAGAGGAGGAGGACGAGTTGGAGAAGCTCTCCCCCCTTTCCCCTTCCACCTTCGCGGCAGGCGCCAATACTCTGCGCCCTCTCTGGGCACTCTGCAATTCCAGTGCCTTATTCCTTTACTGTACCGCACGGGTCTGCCGCCTAATTCACATCAATGGGTTCAAAGTTATGATGAATCTGGTTCTTGCACCAGCAGAACGCTCCAGACTTCGCCAAAAGGATGACAAATAGGTGGAGGACGAGGAGGAGGACGAGAAGAAAGAACAGGAGGAGGAGGACGATGAGGATGAGGAGGATCAGGAGGAGGAGGAGGAATAGGAGGAGGAGGAGTAGGAGGAGGAGGAGGAGAAGGCCAACGAGAAGGAGGAAGATGAAGTGGAGGAATAGCAGAAGGAATAGGAGGAGGAGGAGGAGGAATGGGAGGAGAAGGAGGAGGAGGAGGAGGCCAACGAGGAGGAGGAGGAGCAGCAGGAGGAAGTGGAGGAGGGGGAGAAGGAGGAGGAGGAGGATAAGGAGGAGGAGGAGGAGGAGGAGGAGGAGGAGAGGAGAGCATCTCTCCTCTCCCTGGCGCCCCCTTCCCCCTCCCCCCTGCCACCCCCGGTCCCCGACAGCCGGGGGTGGCAGGGGGGGAGGGGGGACATCCGAAATCCCAGCGACTCCTCGACGTGGGGTGCTTGGCGTCTGCGCTCCTCGCCGTGCGGCGTGTGTGCGGCGGCATGCGCGCGGCGACGCCCCCACGGGTCGCGTGCTTTTTTTGTTGGTTTCGACGCGGCGCGGAGACCATCTTGTGTGGCCCTTGGCATCGCTCGGACGTGTGCATTTTTTTCGGCGAGAACCACCGAGGACCATCCTGGACCATCGAGCAAAACAAACACGCACGAGACCGACGCATGCACGGGAAATGGACGTCCGAGCGACGGCAAGGGCCGGATTTGGCCGGTGCCGCCCCGCGATCTGGGCGGACAGTCTGGGTGGGAGGCGAGTGCCGCTGCGCGGGAGGCCCAAGAAGAGGGCGAGGGCGACGGAGCGTCGTGTCGGTGCGCTCTGGGAGCCTCTTGGGCCCGGAGGTGCCCAAGAGGGCCCCGGGTCAGCGGCGGGATTTCTCACAAGGCTCGGAAGGTTGAATGGCCCCAGGTCGGCGGCAGGAGTTCTCACGAGGCTCGGAAGGCTGTCCGGCCTTCTGAGAGGCTTCCTGGGCCTTCCCCAGGGACGCGGGAGACTTTCCGGAAGGCGGGAGGGCCTCCGAGAAGCCCCGCTCCCCTCTGAGGAGGCCTCCTCCTGCCCACTTCCCCCCCCGCTCGCCACCGATGATCACTGCCCGCGTCTGTCTACCGTCCCGCAGTCGAGTCATGCTGTGCGCTCCCGCCCTCCCCCCGGTCCAACCCGCGGCACACCCGCGTTGCTCTGTGCTGTTTGGTAGGAGAAGTCTGCGCCTCTCGGGAGCGTCTGCGGCCGTCTTGGGGCGTCTTGAAGCCGTCCTGGGCCGGGTTGGGGCCTTCTTAGACTTGAGGGTCTTGACGATGTTCCGTGTTGGGGCGGCCCTGATTGGCGCCTGTGGCGGGCCGCTTGTGCAATTTCCAAGCATGTTCTTTGGGTGGAGGGCAGAGGGTGAAATCTGAAATGCCGTGTCGATGAATTTTCGAGGCTTGAATCTACAAAGGGTGATTCACAAGACGGATTGATTTTCGAGGTGCAAAAACCCATACGGATTTCACCCTGAGCCCTCCACCCTAAGAAAGCGTTCAGGATAATTTGGTAGAACAAGTAGTCGCCTGCGGCGGGCTTCCTCAGAGCCGCGCAGTCTGCCGAGGATCCCGCCGCCCCCCCTCGCTGTTGTCCGAAACTGCTGGGTGCTACATGGCCGATTCGGGAAGCCCTGATCCCAAGCATGTTGCTCTCTATCAGGGGGCGCATCTTTTACTTCCGCCGCCTTCCCCCGAGCTTCCGCTGGCTTTCGTCTGCGGCCTCGTTTTCATGCCTTCGCCCTTCCGCCACCTCCCGCCGAGGAGGAGATGCCAAACTCTCGATCCCTCGAGAACGAAACTTTGGCCCACATGCCATTGCCCGTCCGCCAAGACACGTCCACCCTCGGTGAGCCAACAGAGCCTGGTCCTGTCCCTCGGCCCGTGGCGGCGTCCTCCCGCAGGCGTGCCCGCCGGGGCCGCCGGGGACGCCGCCGCGCCCAAGAAGCGCGCCGCACCCGGGGAGGGCAGGGGCGACGGCAAGCGGCGCAAGGCCTCGGGGGTGGGTGGGTCAGGGGCAGCGGCATGCCCCGTGACAGATAGACACGTGCTCGACGTTTACGCATGATCTCGTTGGCGCCTTACCTTGAGGGACGAAACGGGATAGCCGTGATCAGGACGTCGCGGGATCTTGTCGACGCCGATCTTGTCCATGTCGGCCGTTGCCGATTCGCGAGGATGATCCGCGAATTTGCGCCGACCAACAGTTGGGGGGATAGGCTCAGAGGTTTGAGCTTCAAGCCTGGAGGCTCGCTTTCTGGAGGTTCCTGGTCGTCCCGGGGCTTCCTCGTGGCCACGGCTGGATCCGCCTGGAGACTCTGGTCAGAACGCACCTGAGGAGAGGTCCAGGGATAGAGCTTTGGCCCAAGATCAGGGGCAGACGACTCATCCTCTGGAGCATCCTCCCCCTCTCTCCTCCCCCATCCTCCCCCCCTCCTCCACTCCAACGGCCCCATCCTTCTCCTCTCCCCTCATCCTTGACCTCCTCCACCACCTTTATCCTCCGCTCCTCCTCTCCCCTCGAAGGGAGTGCAGAGGGACACGTTCGAAGGTTCGAGGTTCGAAGATCGACGTCTTTGGGTGCTTGTCGACCTCAGGGCTTTTTCTGTTGGCCACGGCTGGATCCGCCTCGAAGCTCTGGCCAGAACGCAGCCCACCATCGGTCCGGGGGGTGATGGAGTCCTGCGGCCTCAGACATTATGTGTGGGAAGGGACGCAGCGAATCGAAACACAAGAAGAACAATAATAATAGTACTAATCATCATTAGTATTACTAGATCGTATGGACAGTACTACTCATGCTATTAATACGAATAGGAATAATCATACAAAGAAGGAGGAGAAGACGACGAACGTGACATCCTCGCGCCGCGGGATGAACGTATCGGCGGGCGTTTTTTTGTGGCACCTCGTGCTCCGTGGGCCCCTCGTCGGGCCCCGGGGCCATTCAGATACGGCCCGGGACGAAGTGCCCGGTCTTCGGGAGGAGAGGTCCCCGACCTTTGGGGAGCCCTGCTGCGAAACAGAAGCACGCCACCAGATGTCTCCGGAGAGCATTCCCAGGACGCATCCCACGAAGGGCTTCGTGTTTCGAAGAAGAACAGCCAGCATAAACACAAACAACCTGAGATGCGAGCGGATCTCTTCCATCGGCGCAGGACTTCCCACCCTTGCGCGCATAGCGAACCAGCGGCCAGCGTGCACCGCGCTGGGCCTCCCTAGCGGCGCCTCTGGCGCCGCTCCCGGGCGGGCTCCGCGCGCCAGGGAGGGGGGTCCAGCGCCGGTGCGAGAAATTCGCGCGGGCCTCAGAAAGCTATGTTTCTGATGTTTGTTGTTCCTCTTTCAGGGGTGGTGGTGGATGATGCAGGAAAACATGCATAGGAGTTCGGCTCCCACGCACCTCGGGCGGCCAGGAGCGGCGTGATGACCTAGGCTGCGGACATCATGGCGAGGACCACGGTGTCTTCCCCAGATGCCATGTCCCGTTCGTGTTGTCAACATATGTTTTGATTAGTAGGATTAGTAGTAGTAGTGGTAGTAGTAGTAGTAGTAGTAGTAGTAGTAGTAGTAGTATTAGTAGTAGTAGTAGTAGTAGTAGTAGTCGTCGTCGTCGTCGTCGTCGTCGTCGTCGTCGTCGTCGTCGTCGTCGTCGTCGTCGTCGTCGTCGTCGTCGTCGTAGTAGTCGTAGTAGTCGTAGTAGTAGTAGTAGTAGTAGTAGTAGTAGTAGTAGTAGTAGTAGTAGTAGTAGTAGTAGTAGTAGTAGTAATCGTAGTAATCGTAGTAATCGTAGTAGTAGTAGTAGTAGTAATAATAATAGTAGTAGTAATAACGCTCTTCGTATTGTTGACAGTTTTCATCTAGTAGCAGGATTCGTCTTAGTATCAGTGTTATTCGTAGTTATAGTAATTGGTGTTAGTGTTAATAGTATGTTTATTATCCTTAGCATGCGCATTCGTACTATTGTGGTTGTCATGAATACGATTGCGAGTACCATCGTTATTATGATTATCATTTCTATTCGTCTTACTGACAAGCTAATCAGTCTCATGTGTACTCGGATGTTTCCCAACCGATCTGTGTTGTTGGGTCCTCGAATTGAAGAGACGGTCCCCGCGTCTCCTCATCTTCCTCCTCTTCCCTCCTCTCTTCTCACGCTTCGTGGCCCCATAGGGAGGTCCACCTAAGGCCCCAGTGGTGTGTATCACATGCGTCTCCCCCACCCAGTACAGCGTGTCGTGGCCCCATAAGGGAGGTCCAGCTAAGGGCCCAGTGGCGTGTATCACATGCGTCTCCCCCACCCAGTACAGCGTTTCGTTCGCCCATAGGGAGGTCCGCCTTAGGCCGCAGTGGTGTGTATCAGTCCCCCCCACCCAGTATAGCGCTTCGTGGCCCCATAGGGAGGTCCACCTAAGGTCCCAGTGGTGTGTATCACATGCGTCCCCCTCGCCCAGTACAGCGCTTCGTGGCCCCATAGGGAGGTCCACCTAAGGCCCCAGTGGTGTGTATCACATGCGTCTCCCCCACCCAGTACAGCGTGTCGTTGCCCCATAGGGAGGTCCGCCTAAGGCCCCAATGGTGTGTACCACGTGCGTCTCCCCCACCCAGTACAGCGTGTCGTGGCCCCACAGGAGCTCCACCGAAGGTCCCCGTGGCGCAGTCCGCATGCGTCTCCCCTCAGCTTGTACAGCGTTTCGTCGCCCCATATGGAGCCTCACCGAAGGTCGCCGTGGCGCAGTCCGCATGCGTCTCCACCACCCAGTACAGCGCTTCGTGGCCCCATCTGGAGCCCCACCGAAAGTCCCCGTGGCGCAATCCGCACGCGTCTCCCCCACCCAGAACAGCGCTTCGTGGCCCCACAGGGTCTCCGCCGAAGGCCCCCGTGGCGCAGTCCGCATGCGTCCCCCCCACCCAGTGCAGCGCTTCGTGGCCCCATAGGGCCTCCGCCGAAGGTCCCCGTAGCGCAGTCCTCATGCGTCTCCCCCACACAGTACAGCGTTCCATATGGGGCTCCACCGAAGGCCCCCGTGGCGCAGTCCGCATGCGTCTCCCCCACCCAGTACACCTCCGTCGGAGGCCGTCGGAGTTCCGCGCCTGGCTCGCCCGTCGTCTTTTTGCCCAGCAGCAAGATCCTTGCCCGCTATCAGCCAGCCAGCTAGCTCTCGTTGCCCCGCACAGCGGACGACCCGCGCGCGTGGCTGGGACCCTTTGCGGGGCGACCTGCGCGCGTCGCGGGGACTCCGCGCTGCGCTGCGCCCGCAGCCTTGGACTTTTGAGTACGCGGGCAAAGGGGGAGTAAAAGAAGGGGAGGAAGCGGGCGCGATCCTCGCGGGGGGGCGCGCCGACATTGGCGTCGCGGCTCGCGGGCGATGCCGTCGGGGAGTCCTGGGGAAGCCCCTTGCGGCGGCCACGCCCAGCGTCACGAGTATTCAGAGGCAGTCAGCCTCAAACTATTGGCAGTCATTTACAATTACACCGTGCTTTGTCATACTCGCATTTATGCACGCAGAGTCGCTCGCACGCAGATTCATTCACAGTCAGACGCACTCGCGCTCAGATTCGCCCGCGCTCAGTCTCCCCACGTACTCAGATCAATCGTTTTCGCTCGCGTTGTGTACCACGCCACTCATTTCGGCACACTCGTAGCACGGTCCGTTGCCACATAGGGATCACCACCGAAAAAGTGAACCACAATTGCGGTACTCACACCTGCGTAGGGTTGGGTCCTTCGTCCGGCTATTTTTTGTATGCGTGTTACGTTTCTGGTGATTCGGAGTTCAAAGCGCCCCCTACCCTTCTGCATCGTCGTCCTTCGCGCACATGCCTCAGGCCATAATTTTCCGACCCCCTTCTTGGACCCCCAGGAAGGGGGGGCAGGGGGGAGGCAAAGCACAAACGCAGAGGAGGAGCTTCGCTCCCCCGCAGCCCTGGCCGTCGCCTCGAAACGCCCCCTTCTGGCCTTGCGGCGCGGGCCGTCTCGCTCGCGTCAGCGCGGCGCCTTCGGCGCCGTGTTGTGCCGTGCTGTGCCGTGCTGCGGGGCATGGTCGCGACGCGGCGGGCAGACGGGATCGGTAGGCAGAAGGTGTAAGTCGGGCGTGTCCCTCTACAGGAGCACTATTCAAAAGTAGTAATCAAATATTGTATGGACGATTTTCGCGTATGTTGTTGACCATGTTTGGGTATTGTTTGAGTAGCTTCATTCCCAACCATTCTGTGGTGTTGAGTCCTCGTTATGAAGAGACGGTGCCCCGCGTGTCCTTCTCCTCCCGCTACCCCCTCCCTCCTCCCCCTCCCCCTCTTTGCCTCTGCTTTCGGCACACCCCTCACACGCTTCGTGGCCCCATAGGGAGCTCCACCGAAGGTCCCAGTGGCACAGCCCGCATGCGGTTCCCCCACCCAGTACAGCGCTTCGTGGCCCCATAGGGAGCTCCACCGAAGGTCCAGGTGGCACAACCCGCATGCGGTTCCCCCACCCACGGCAGCGCTTCGTAGCCCCATAGGGAGCCCCACCGAAGGTCCCAGTGGCACAGCCCGCATGCGGTTCCCCCACCCAGGGCTGCGTTAGTTCCACCGAAGGCCCCAGTGGCGCAGTTCGCATGCGCCCCCCACCCCACCCAGGGCAGCGCTTCGTGGCCCCATAGGCAGCTCCCCCGAAGGTCCCACTGGCGCAGTTCGCATGCGTCCCCCACCCCACCCAGTACAGCGCTTCGTGGCCCCATAGGGAGCTCCACCGAAGGTCCCAGTGGTGCAGTTCGCATGCGCCCCCCCCCCCACCCAGTACAGCGCTTCGTGGCCCCATAGCGAGCTCCACCGTAGGTCCCAGTGGCGCAGTTCGCATGCGTCCCCTCCACCCAGTACAGCGTTTCGTGGCCCCATACGGGGCTCTCCCGAATGCGATACCCACAACTGCATATGGTTGGGTCCTTCGCCAGGCTAATTTATTTTTCGTCGAACATCTGTCTGTCGGGGGACATGCCCGACCTAACCGAAGGTCCAGAGCGGGCAGGACATCGGCATCTGCCACAGGAACGATCGCAGGAGACAGGGCCATGTCGGATTTTGGGGGGCAACTCTGGTCCGCCACAGGCGGGCCTCTTTCACCGCGAGGGAGAGAGAAAAAGAGGGAGAGGGAGGGCGAGAGAGAGAGAGAGAGAGAGTGAGATATCCAGAGTGGTCCGAGTTCAGGCAGTGAACATGTTTCGCACTCGATCAGTGGCGCGCGAGGGGAACCAATTCTCGGAGGGCACTGAGGGCGGTCCATGGGCAATATTGATGGCTCTCGTCTGAGGCTATGTTGAACCAGCTTGGGATATCTCGAGCGATTTTGAAGGCCATGCTGGGCTCTTTGGGGCCCGGGGTAACACCTTCCCCCAGGGGGCAGAAGGGTAATAGCAAAGCGAACTCCTTAATTTCGGTCAGGAACCTCTGGATCACGTGTCGCTCCGCTGGTTCTGGTCCACCGCGCTTCGGTGCGACACGCTGTCTGCTTCACGGTTCCGAAGTTCCGAGGCGTCAACGTCCCTAGCTTCCCCGAGCATTTCGCCCCGTGGAGCGGAGCGACGCGCTATCCGCATGCACGGCGGGGCAGCCCGGGCGGCACGCTGTGCAAAGCTCCTGGCTTTACAGGCGGCCTGGAGCAGTGGGTCGACCTTGCCAGATCAAGGGTACCTTCGTGTCCTGTGCTTGCGACCCATGCCTCCGGCATCTCTGCGGAAGGGTCTTCTGCCCTCTCGCCTGTCCTGTCCAATCAGGGCCGACTGTAAGCCATTCACGCCCAGAGGGCGTTCCTGGCCTTCGCTTCTGCGGCCGCCGCCGTCGTGGACTGCCCGCGCGCGCCTCCTCACCGCAGCCTCGGCAGGCGGACTTTGCGATGGGCGACCGTGGCGTGTTCTTCACCACCATGTCGCCGGGCGCCGCCGGCAACGCTCGCCGCGACCTAGTGAAGCTTCTGGAGGAGGCCCCCCTCGGGCAGCGGGGGGGGGCGAGGGGCGGAAGGGAGAGAAGAGACAGTGGAATGAACCTAGTCTTTCGACGGTCCGCGCTGATTTCTTGGATCGGCGCTGGGCCCCCCTGGTCGGCGCCTCCAGCGCCGCCCATAGTGCGCTCCGCGTCCTTGGCGGGGGTCCAGCCCCGACCCGAGAAATCGGCAGGACATGTGTATGCCGTTGTTGGTTCTTCCAGAATTGGGAAGGTCGGGAGGCGCGCGCAAAAGGGGGCGGGACGGGGGGGCGAAGGGCGCGTCGACGGGCAGTGTCAGAGGAGCACGAGGTCATGATAGTGAAACGTTCCAAGATTTCCAGAATTTCCAAGGTCTTTGACTGTTCCACGCGGGCTGCAGAACCCATAGCCGTCAGGTATTCCGGAATTGTTTGAACGCATCCTGAGCCAGGTGCATCACCACACCATCATCGTCCCAACGAGGCTCTCTCCTCCTTCCTCTTCCTCTTTTCCGTTTCACAGAGATTGGAGGGAGACGTAGCCGTTGCGTCAATGGAGGTTTCCGCGATCACCGGAAAAAATTAAACGATCGGCACGTCACGCGCGATCACCCTGGGGCATATGCACCGATGCCCCAGGTGTTGGCAAAGCGCGTGGCATGAAGGGAAGACGGGGGGCGAGGGGGCGAGGATAGGTAGAGAAGCGTTCTCAGGCGTAGAGGGAGCTTCAGGCAAGGACACTCATTGAGGGCTAGGTGTACGCAGAGCTCTCCTCCACAGTCAGCCTCCTCCCCTTCTCCTCCTCCCCTTCCTCCTCCTCCTCATCTTCCTCCTCCTCCTCCCCTTCTCCTCCTTCTCCTCGTCCTCCTCCTCCTCCTCCTCCTCCTCCTCCTCCTTCTCCTCCTCCCCCTCCTCCTCTTCCCTCCCCTGCTCCATCTTCCCCCTCCGTGCCCTCGGGACGAGGCAGCAGTGCCGCCCAGAGGGCGTTTTGAGGTCGCGGGGCGCGGCAGCGGGGCACCTCCCCGCTCGCGCCGTAGAGGGTCGGCCGCGAGGCGCCGAGAGAGCCGAGACAGGCTCGCGTATCAGGCGAGGGCGAGTTGAGAGGTGTACGGTGTGCAGGATCGGACCGAGGTATAAGATCGCGGTCGGTTCTGGGAGGGTACCCTCGTGTTCTTCGTGTTTGTTGGGTGTGATTGTGCATCCTTGGGAGGGTGGCCATAGAATGTTATGTTTGTTGTGGCCGACGGAGGGTCTCATGTTCTTGGCGGAAGTTATTCTGGCCTATGTCCGACTGTAGTTGTGTGTCTGCGCGTCTGTGTTGGTATTGACGTCCTCCTTTTTCGGCTCGCACAGCTGCCGCCCTCTGATGACAGGGAGATGCACATTTGTTGTGCGGGAGGATGGGAGGATGACGACAAAGGCGCGCCCATTCCACGCATGCCGGTGGGGAAGATAGGCAGCGTGGTGTTGGGGAAGACAGGCAGCTCCAGCAGGCAGCGGTTCTTCTCCGTCTCAGGGGAGGGCGACTTGAAACAACGGTTGTTGGCATTCGGGGGGGGTCGTCTCCACGGTTGGACGCAGCTCGGAACCTTGGTGCGTTTGGACCCCACGAGGGTTCTGAGGTTCGATTTTGAGTTGCCATTGTCTCAACTCGCCCTGTTCCGACCAGATGCCTTGAGGGCGGAGGAAGTGCGAGGAGGAGGAGGAGGAAATCCTTCAGGCTCAGGCGTTTTCCGGAGCTGGGGCCATTTGCTTGCACTTGCGAACCGTTGCTTTCCCTCTTGCTTTCCCGCGCGCCATGGTCTTTGCAGCCAGGCCCCATTGGTTCATCAAGGATCTGGCGAATGGCCGGCATAGCGTTGTCAAGCTGTGCGGCCACAGCGACAAACTCATCATTCAGGTCTGCTTGCTCCCCGTCTGGGAGCGCATTGTGAAGAAAAGCTTCGGACATCGACAGCGCAATCTTCGTGGACTACGGGCACAAGACTCGAAATGTGAATCCCCCTTCCGCTTTGTCGTGCTGATGCGCCATGCGATGGTGGAGGGCCCCAGGCGCCGGACGCACGCCGAGTCCATCGGTCAGTCCTGGCGCACGAGAAGGTGGAGTCGTCCAGCGAGCAGCCTCTTGTTGAAGGTGGCGCGGCTGGTTGGTGCTCTGTGGCGATAGAGGGCGAGCCCCGCGCTAAGTAATATATCCATACTGATGCGGTGAGGTCCCAGCGGCACGGAAAAGCCGACGGTCCTCGGCAACACAGCGAGATGCATCCTTTCCAGGCGTGGCCGCGCGCCTTGTCGGCCTCAAGGCTAGGCCACGGCGCGAAGGCACCCTGAGCTTCTACGACGACGCTGCTGACCGCTGGGCCTTCCAGTCTGGCGATGAGGCCATCCGCGTCAAGGCGTCTTGTCTCGAGCTAATATCCACGCGAAAAAATGTCTTGGCACTGCGTTTCAAACAGCCGCCTTCGAGTGCCAACGTCGGGGCCTAGTTTATAACGACCAGGTGTTCCAGCGATCGCACATGCTCAAGAATGGCCGCCTGGGGAGACCGTGTTTTTCTTGTATTTTTCTTCAGCGACAACACCGCCTTCGACACGATGCACTGCCACGTGGCCGCCAGGAGCCTTCAGATCGTCTACAGGCGATTGCCGATCAGCAGTATTCTTGGTGAGCCAAGCGCATCATTCCTTGTGCCAGATACGCAAGTCCCTTTGCCACCCACGTCTGTTGGGTTGCGTTTCCCGTCAAGGCTGCAGGCAGTCTGCGTTGAGATTGCGCGTCCCGTCCTGGTCTCTTGTATCGCGTGCTGCTCGATCCTCTGGGCTAGCGCGTTGACTCCAGCTCCAGCAGGCGAGTGCCGGCTGCATCTCCAACGCATGATGTGGCCGCCTTTTGACGTTCGTTTTCAGGGCTGCGGGAAGAACAGGAGGAGGATGAGGAGGAGGAGGAGGAAGAGGGCCAGGAGGAGGAGGAGGAGGAAGAGGAGGAGAAGCAGAAGCAGAAGGAGACGGAAAAGGAACGCGACACATGAGAGCCGCAGGGGCACTAGGGCACCGTGAAAGAGCCGACGGGGGCAACACAAAGCGGCGGCGAGGCGCCGATGGGGGCCGATGCGGGGAAGCTGCAAATGCGCATGCGGGCCGGGCCCGTTGCGTTGCATGCTTGGGGCGATTCCAGGTGCAAAGGGGGCCTGGAGTTGTTTTTTTTGTTGCGTCCAGGTTTCCGCATGTTCAGATGCGCTTCATCCACTTGGGCGATTGTCTTGTAGTTCTTGGCATCGCTCTTCTTGCGGAGGCCGACGCCAGCGTTCCTCCGAACGGCGGCCGCCTCGGCTACCGCTCGGACCCTGGCGCGGGATTTTGCCTGAGCGCTCCTCCTCCCCTTCGGCTTCTTGCCCGCTGCCGGGGCCCGTTCGATGTCGTGGCCGCGTGGAACGCAGGTGCAACCTTCGTCTGAACTTTAGAAACCCACCTCTCGACCACGCAGTGGTTGCGCCCAGCCCCCCCCCCCGTGATCAGCTTGGGGTAGTCGAACAGCCGCGTCGTCATCGCGTCCAAAAAAGCCATCCACGATTTGCACTGCACGCCCTCGAAGACGGCGCCTTTCGTCATGGACTTGTGGCTCCCAGGTTTGCGCGAATCACGCGTGCGACTCCAGTCGCGGCACCGCCACGCCCATGCGCTCTTGTCCTTGCGGTGCGCGAAATCATAGTCGTTCCCACCGCAGCACGGGCGCGTGTACTTGCCTTGGATGAAGCCTATCACCTGCGCGAGATTGAGGGCTGGCAAGGAGGGCGCATTCGCGCGCGCCCCAGCGCATGCGACCCTTGGGTGCTTCACCAGGCGCAAGAAATCCTCGCGGGAACTGGTGTCTGCTACGCGGAGCTTCCCGCGGCACTCGTTGACGTTGGCATGTTGCGCCATTGCGCCGCTGGGCCTGGCGCGGGGCGGCGGGGCGCGGCGGGGCGTCTTAGCGATGGGGCGTTTCAGGCAAAATGGCGCTGCAATCGACCCAAAACGGCCGCGGGAACAATGCGGCGACGTTGACGACGACCGCGACGACGGAACAGTGGGCAATCGCGACTGGGCGACATGTTTCAGCTTGAGACAAGCACAATGGGAACTCACAGGTGCGTGGGAGTCCAGAAACCGATATTTTCACAGGAACGGCACCCCCCAACTCCTCGGGGGCACAACGGCGCGCGCAACCTCGGCTGCGCGCGCCGCGCCCGTGTCCGAGCTGAGAGCGCCGACGCTGCCCGAGGACCCAAGAATCGCTCGCTTGCCATCCCCGTTGCCCATGCCGCCGCCCAGGGCGGCCAGGGCCTCCGCCCCCCCCCCCCCCCCCCCCCCCCCTCGAGCGCATCCCCCAGGGCCTGCGCGAGCGGCATGTCTGGCCCCTCGGCTTTGGCTGGGGGCGGGGAACAGGGGTCAAGGCAGACGTTGCTGGGCCCGAGGAGGCGCCTGAACTTGCGAGTGTCAGGCGATAGGTGCTCCCTCGCGACGCGCGCGGCGGGGGCTGCCTGCGCGTCGGGCACGCGCCTCGCCTGCGCCGCCTGCACGGCGGAGTCGATGAACGCCCTCTCTTGTTGCAAGAGTTTCTGCCAGTCAGCAGGAGGGGTCGTGCCGCCATTCTTGGGCGCTCCGTGCAAAGTTTTCCCCTCTGTGAGGTGCTCGCCCATGCCCTCGACGTTCTTCCGCTGCGCGTCGGCCTCCTGCGCCCCCGCGCGCCGCCAGTAGACGAACTTCTTGGCGTTGGCGATGAACGCCGCCCTCTTGAAGACGGCCACGATGCACGCGGGTGTCATCTTCTCGTGGGACGTGGGGCGCGGAGCATGTTGAATATCTTTTCGAATTTGGCGTGGGGCCAGAAGTCGCCCTTGGCCGCGCGGTCGCCATGGGCCTGGTCAGCAACGGCACGGGGCCCTCCCGCGACTAACTTCGTGGCGCCCCACCTCGCCCAGCACATGCTTTCGAATTGTCCCACGTCCAAGGGCGACTTCGCCATCTTCGCTGGCAGCTGG